CTACATAGGAACTGTACAAATGTAACATATCCATGGTTAGCAGAAACATACAATGCTAACATTTACTCTGGCAACTGGGTTGTTGGTCCACACTGACAATCTCAACCATAGACTTTATATGCATTCTATAATCTCAAGAGCTAGTTGATAAATTGCCATGAAACTTTGGTACAGATGGTGAATTCTCGTGAGTTGACATGAACTCTAACACCACCATGAGGTTGACATTTGTAGTTTTGAGTGAAATGTCTCAAAAGAGTAGAGTTGTCACAAACTGGCCGAGGCAACATGAGAAGGAGGGAGTCCACATCAGCTTATACTGAACTCAAAACAACAATAGACTTGGTAGATCAGTGATGAAAGCAGGACATGAACATGTGCCATGTGTGTTGTATTGCAAAACCATCAGACAGAGACGCAGGGTGCATGCCAACTGCAGGAAGGGAGAGACAGAGTGAGCATATGGTTCGCTTATATAGCCTGGAAGCCCCAGGAGAACTACATCAGGCTAACGACCCTACGTTCTCCAGTTGACATGAGGTTGGCCAGGGTAACCTCCAAGACATTGGCAGGGGTGCCTTGTGGTTTGGCAGCTTCCTCTTAAGTGAGCAAACAGCTTTGGGACTTTGATATATCTGGCGAGATCAGTGGCAAGAATAACATTTGAGACGTGAGACCTGTGATAAAACCAAAATGTGGTGAAGCCAAAACTATAACCAGCTGTCGTCAGGGAGACCAGAGGGCAGATGCACTCCAGTATAAAGTGTCTGAACTTATTAGGAAGAGAAGCAGGGACTCATTTATTCACATAGAAAATGATGTAATGTGTATCTTTTTATTGCATCACATAAAGCTACTGGCTTAACACCAGCTTTTCTTTTTAACTTGTTTGGCGTTTATGTTGTGGAACTGCGTCTTATATTTTAGTCTTTATTGCTTTTAATTCTGACTGGAAACTCACTGAAATTATTAAAGTTTAGATCCTTCCTCTCCTCACAGGACAAACAAACACAAAAACAGCTGAGCAGCAGGACAGCCCACCAGCCTGGGCTTCCATCATCAACAGACGCTTTGGTAGAGACATCTACCATTACGTAGGGCACGACATTGTCATTCAGGAGTCCATAGACTCGTACGGAGCAGTGATGTGGCCAGCAGTGAGTGCCTCTAAAAACATGAAATAAATATCATCATTACAGTTTTCTTAAACAAGCATATGAGATTCTGTTTCTATTTACAGGCGTTGGCTCTGTGCTCCTACCTGGAAAACAACAGGAATACGGTGAACCTGCAGGGAAAGGAGGTGCTGGAGCTGGGATCAGGAACTGGACTGGTAACCATTGTGGCCAGTCTGCTGGGTGAGTGGTCTTCAATTTGTTTCACACAACATGAACATGAGCACAAAATCACAGCCCATCAAACTTGGGAAAATGTCTGTAAAGTCACCGTGACATGATACTCAAACTTTGACACAAAACCCAAAGTAGATTACAGTTAGGGTTGTGAATCATTAAAAAAATATAATACCAGTAGCAAAACCAGTACCCTTAAAGTGATACCAATACCAACAGAGTACTTCATTTAATACCCATAACGTGAATGGAGTGGTGTATAGTCATACTTTAGATGGCATCTCAGCGCACTGAGCTGCCGACTTTGTCAAACACACCGTGCTCGACTTCCCCACATCACAGACTGTATGGGTTGTTGCTGCTGCTGCAGGAGTGTGAGCTCCATGCCAGGGACAGTTTTGAGAGTCTGTCTGGCCGCACACACACAGTGACAGGGCTAACTGTGAGCATCACAGGGCTAAAGATACCTAACTTTTTAGTGTCAGTGTGAGTTTGTTGGAGCGTTTAATAACTCAGTGTTGGTTGTTAGACACTGCTGCTGTGTTAGATTGAGCTAACCAAGCAGACGTTTAACTGATCATTCACTGGTGGGTTAGCTGCTCCGGTGACAGCAGCAACAGAAAGTTTGCTGACCCTTGGTGAGTCAGAATATTTTGGGATCAGACCCCGCGCGAAACGGATCAAATGCAGGTATTGTTCGACTGAAGACGTTTCGATACTACTTCGTACTGGGTTATTTTGGTCAGTAGGTATTTAGTACTGATACCCAGCCATAATTACAGTATCTACTGACAGAATCTAATGGTTTTATAATTCATATAATACACATCTACACACACGCACAGAGTAAAAAAAGATGTAGTGACCTGCTTTTATCAGGCATAATATGACTAAAGCAAACTATTTGAACTATTGCTTGATTTTGTGTCACAAAAAAATCTACAAAATCAAAGCACCCGTATGGTAACGGGCTAAAAATGCTCCTTTTACTGTTTTTTACTTGGTGTCTTTGCATACAATTTTTTGTTTGTGAAATGCACATTTTTCTTATTAGACTGACATGTAGAGCTGGATGAGGGTCAGACACAGAGGGGTGGTGGTGGGGTCAATGTTGAGCCTGAAGTGACTTAACTAGGGAGTGAAACTTGGGGTCGGGACGATGTGTTGTTTTGTTCCCGTTAAAATACCTTAATCATTTTAGACAATCAAATTAATCTAGCAAACATTAAACTTGTGTAATAAAAGGTGTTCTGTTGCAGTTATCTTTTAGTTGTCTGCACCTTTTTGTCAAAATGATGTCACCATTGTGTGGTAATGCACTTTAAAGCAGAGACTACTGAAGTCTCTTTTTGGTGTATTAAAAACCCTTGACTCCACAACTGGTTACCAAAAAACATTTGTTTATTGTCTGAAAGTCAAACCTAGGTGTCAGCCTATTTAGGATGTCTTTGGATGATCTTCCCACCAGAGTCTTAACAAAACGAGAACTGCCTAAACTGCATTTCCACTCTACAAACTCCCTAATAAAGATCACCAGTACAGTTATTTTATGGTTATTGTAGCTATGTTAATGACAGATGTCCTGTTTCTGCATCCTCAGGAGCTTCAGTCACAGCTACAGACCTACCTGACGTGTTAAGTAACCTCCAGGCCAACGTGACCAGGAACACCAGGGGGCGTTGCAGACACACACCCAAGGTGGAAATTCTGTCCTGGGGCCACGACCTGGAGCGCACCTACCCTTCATCCCTCTACAGGTACGACTATGTGTTGGCAGCTGACGTGGTCTACCATCATGACTTCCTGAACGAGCTCCTGGCCACCATGAAGCATTTCTGCACACGAGGAACGACTGTGATCTGGGCCAACAAGGTCAGGTTTGAGACTGATCTGACCTTCACTGAGAACTTTAAAAAGGCTTTTCACACGAGTCTGCTGGCCGAAGACGGAGAGATGAAGATCTTCATGGGAACGTTTCGAGGGTGAGAGACAGAAAAGATACAGAAGGATTACTGAATGGCCCCAACAGGCCCAGGGGGCCCCTAAGTCAGAGCCTCTGTTAAACGTGACTGTTAATACCACTACTTTTTGGGAAGTTAAAGGGCGAGTACCTGACACTTTTTACTTTTACCTTTGTTATTTTTTTCAATATAAACAGCAGCACAGTGCATGACTGAGCCAATATAATTAGTAGAGCAAATGAAATTACTTTGACAGTGGAATAGCTCAGCTTTAACAAAACAATGCTTCACAGGTTTCCTTTGATGATATCACATATTTTGTATATTCATTTGTAAAATAACAGTGAAGACTTTGGATCTGTATTAGCAGAATGATGTGGTGAGAGTTTAGATGGCCACTCTATCTCGAACATTAACAAAAGACTGCAGCTTTTGCAGTGATGTGGGTGCTGCGCCGGACTGTCATGGGGAAGAGGGAGCTCTGGGTAGTGACTGCAAGAATAAGATTGCGGATACAAGCGGCCGAAAGACAGCGTTTCCTCCGTGGGGTGGCTGGGCTCAGCTTTAGAGATAGGGTGAGGAGCTCGGACATCCGGAGGGAGCTCGGAGTAGAGCCGCTGCTCCTTCTAAAGGGGTCAGTTGAGGTGGTTCAGCATCTGATCAGGATGCCTCCTGGGCGCCTCCCATTAGAGGTGTTCCGGACACATCCCACTAGTAGGAGGCCACGGGGCAGATCCAGAACATGCTGGAGGGATTACATATCTCATCTGGCCTGGGAATGCCTTGGGGTCCCCCAGGAGGAGCTAGAAAGGGCTGCTGGGGAGAGGGACATCTGGGGTGCTTTACTTGGCCTGCTGCCCCTGCAACCCAGCCCCTGATAAGCAGGTGAAAATAGGTGGATGGATAGATGAATCATCAGAACTGAAGTGTTATGATTTACCTGGAAAGGTGCCAAACAACCACATTTCTCTGTTTAGACCTGGTATTAACATGCGTTTTAGGTGATCCAATCACAAGTGGACAGCGCTAAATACAAGAGTAGACGACCACCCAGACGCACCGTGATATTTGGTAGTGTTACCACTAATGCGCCCTGATGCATCCCTTACAAGGACTACACCATCTGCGCACATTGTGGTGGTTGTTTTGGTGACAACGCGCTAAAACTCTATCAGGCAAGAAATGAAGGCCTTATGCACTTGTTTCTGTGCCAATGCTGTCCCGTATGAGCACTGAGCAAAGCAGTGGCAATGAGCTGGCCAGTAGGATACACACATGCACTGATAAGCACACACAGCTTACGACAATAAACCAAAGAGAAGCTCGGATTACAACACACACAGATGACATTAATCCACTTTATCTTTACATAGCAAATAGCTGTTTGCTCTTAATGTCGTATACAGAACCTTTACAGATAAAACAGTTGATCGTTCATTGAGAAAATCATCTGTACATTTTTTGATATAGCACAGAATTTAGTCGCAGCCCTTTCACTGCATCTGTTATGAAATGTCCTGTTTTTGTTGGCATGTGAATTGTCTTTTTTAACATTGTTTAATATAGTAAAAACAATTGAAACTACCCTTTTATCTCTTCTTTACTTGGTCATTTCTGGACAAACTGTTGCAAATCATATCTGCTCCATAATGCTGTGTGTACAAGTGACGACCAAAGCACACTTACATTCTTCCAAATCATTTTTATTCAGTGTTGTTTTCCTTGTTTGTGACTTAATTCCACGTGACCACAAAATAGTGTGACAGTAGCACAGGTCTTTCCCACGTCATCGAGGAAGAATGGATATAAAATAATACTAAGAGCATACAACCTTATCTCATAACATTCTGTAAAATATTGGCATTTACTAGATTTTTATGACTACAAATATAAACACTCCACATCCAGAAGAAGCATTTCTGAAGTCTTTTCCTGACACCAGCAGAGTGAGAGCAACAGATACAGAGACGTCTGTTTGGTGCCAGAAATGGACGGTACAGTCCTGTGGTGAAAGTTTAAGGCCATTTTCGGAGAGACTGTCATTGGCAACGCCTACTGTAGACAGCTGAGCCCTGAACGCAACATCTGCCTGAACCTAACCCCAAACACAGGAGAGAGGACAAAGAAGCAGGAGGAAACTGAAGATGCAAAAAGTAAAGACGATGAGCACAGATTCTGTCCAACCCAACTGACTCCAGTGAAGCCCTGTGGAAGCCCTGTGCACTGGGAGAGGCTTCTTAGGCCTCTGCAGAAAGTGCACACGAGTCACGGCTAAAAACAGAAACACAAGGTGTCTTTACCCGGGGTCATCATGGGTTGTGACCGCTGATTCGCTGTGTATGCACAACAGTCATCCTATAAAAGATTTACTCCCAGGAGGACGAAAGGCCTCAACTTGAAAGCAGCTGCGTTTACACTCTTAGGAATGCACCTTCTACATGTCAGAGGACTTAATTAGAACATAATTAGAGCCATTTTATACAGACCAGTGGTTCTCAGACTGCTTGGTCTAAAGGTGAATCTACTTCTTTCCTCTACTCATTATGTCCAATTTTATCATTATTAGCCTTCACGCTTCCTTTGACAATTACACCAGCTAACATGGGGAAATCTTTCTTTGGGTAAACTGGTAATACTACACACTGTGACAGGAAACCACACTTTTCTTTTACACTTTTACGAGCCAAAAAGGTTGAGAATCACAAATATAAAGATTAAAAAGTGGATATGTTGTTTGTGTCTTTAGCATTGCCCTCTTTTGTACAGGCACTGTGCAAACAAACAGCCACACGTCCTCATTTGTTACATGATTCAGGTGATATATTAAAGGACCGTACCAGTGTTTTTGCACATTTGAACTCCACTGTTGTAGCCTGAAATTGTTGCTGACCACTTACAAAGGCATGCAGTGCAGTTTTTTATTTCACAGATGAACTGTCTTTGTCAACTGGGGCTGAACACTACAAGTTTTAAAATGGAAAATATCTCCAGATAGCTCTGGTTCTGCTGCATCGAGTTTGATTTTCATTGAAAAGAAAAGAAAAGCTAATCATGAAACTAACATATGCGTAAATTGGTGGAGTTTTCTCTCAAGTTGCATCAAAGTGAACATCAATCTGCATTTATTTTTTGTCAAAGTTTCATTATCTCTGCAGACTAAAGCAAAAAAGGCTTTTTAAGTAAATATGCAATTACACTGCACTGTCAAACGACGACGCTGCCACTTTGATGAAAGTGGAAATACACATTTTTTGGCTTTTACTTGTCAAAATTAGGCAAATATTGATTGCACAATGAAATGGCTACGGAGCAATGACACCACCTGCGTATAGACTGGTTCCCTGTAAGCCTGGATTTCACTATGCAATTGTCCGCCACGGGTACAATCTGCGGGGAATATAAAGACTCAATTCACGGCACAAATGAAGCACATTTTTTCTGAAAATAAGAGTTACTGAAGACTGTCATTATCCACAGTAGTGGAGACAGCAGACCGAGAAACAACCTAAGTGATTGTGAAAATTGATCCGTTTGTCTTTGTAACAATGTCACTAACAATAATACCACTTAAAAACACTTAACAAACGTACTTTCAAATCTGAAGTACTTTTCTGTGACATTTAATATTAATGAACAAGCACCAAAGTTAAAGTTTGAGAAAATGTTATTTATCATTTAATAAGTTTAACATTCAGAAATTCAGCTAACCCTGCTTCAGCAGCTCTGTGTGGGTGCAGACAGTGGTAACGTACACATAAAACCTCAAAACTGTCATTGTGTTTTGACTGAAATGATGCTAACCCCTGATTGGTGTTCAGAAATATTAAACTCAGACCACTCTACGCAGTGAGACAGAAACCTTGTGTGTGAAATACTGAAAACTTATTTCCACCATTGTGAAAAGATGACTGCATTAAAGGCCCTTGCAATTACATTTCTCAAATTCAATGGAGGTTTTGAAATATCTCCTATTATATTAAATTGAAATGGCAGGAAAAATCCATAAGAAATCTAAAATGACATAATAAGCAAAATCATCAGCCGTGATGTTAAGTATTTATGTTTCATAGCAAATCAGATTAAACATACAAAAACCACTGGCACGGTCCTTTAAAGTAAATAAGGTATCTGACAAGAAAAAAATCAGACTCATGTTTAACCCCCTCTAAGTTGGCTATGATTTCAGTTCTGTTGGGTAAAATGTTCATGTACACAAAATATGCTCACAAGTAACACGTAAAGTCATTCACAAACACACACTCATGAGAAGAACAACAGTGGATCATCTTCAGAATCTTGTTTGGGATTAAAAATCTTTCAAATTGAAACAAACTAAAATCTTCTTCCAAATAAAACTGCTTTTCCTTACATCCTAGAAGACATGCATATATGCAAAATACATCAATTAGAATAATATTTGTATTATATACCTATTGCATCTTAATATTTTTTTATGTGTGTATGTACATTTTTATGACACTGTGTACAAACGCAACATTTTGAATGCTGCAGAGAAATGTCTAATACTGCGTGAACATTTTACAATGAAAATCTGAACATCCTTTCCGCTGCCCATGACTGCATCTGTTACGTTAGTGAGGTCTGTTAAGATGGTCGTCAAATGTGCGGCTCGGGTAACTGCAGCATGACGTGGGTGGCCAACACCTCTGGAGGTAAGCAGAAGCCGGAAAAGTGTGTCTGTGGCTTACTGCTACCTGACAAGTCACTGACGGCCTGCATACAGTGCACGGACACGTCACGCTGCAGATACGAGCTGTGAAACATATTTGACACCAAAGGCTGATGGGTGAAATGACTGCAAGCGGCTAAGTGTTGACTGACGCTACTGATTCCGCAGCCTCGCGCTGTTTTCCATCCCATCAGAGAAAGGTAAGGTACATGTAGAAAGGCACCTCCATACTGTTTTGTGTTCTGTGTACACAAGTCAAAGCCTCGAACGACAGACAAACCCGGCCCGGCTGCAACAATAAAAAAACCACATAAAGAAAAACAAAGAAATGAGATATCAAGTTCTGTCTCCCCTTTCATTCAGGGATCAGGCAGACTCTGCGTGCCTTCGTGTGTCCGAAAATCGAGCAGCAGCAAGTCCTGTCTTCTCACCGAAGTATCATAACAGGTTTTTTGAAAGTGAGTAGATGGGGTCACAGTTTTTTGTTTTGTTTTTTTTTTTTACAAAGACTTGGGATGCATCCCTGGAGTCCGCACTGGCCCTTTTACAGTATTTACACGAGAGACGGAGGTTATTTATGTGATATGGAGTCCGTACAGCTGAGGATGAGTGGGGTTGTGAGAGTCTCCAAATGTGTAGATGACACCAAAATAAAGGATAACGCCCAACTAAGAAAGAAGTGACCTACACAGTCAACAAGCCTTGGAAAAAGTTTGGATCATTTAAAAAAATTTAAGCTTCTAGTTCTTTTGCTTGTGGTAATCAAATGAACTGTTGTGCCACACGCTCTGCAGAGCTGAGATGTTCAGCGAGACATTTAGAGACAGGATTAGCACGATCCCCTCTTGCCTTAAAAGGTGTCGAGTGCCTCAAATCGTTTACACCCAGCGTTATCCTTCACGTTGGTGTCCACCTACATCTAAATTTGAAAAACCAGATGCATAGACCATGTGACCCTGAGGGACATGATATCGAGGTTACCATGTAATGAACCATGTATGGCCATGCTGCTTGTGCATGCATGTGCGTCTGTGCCTAGAAGGGTGTGTATTCTGCGGGGTACATGACGGGGAGCCAGTTCTCACTGAAGGTGGCGCAGTGTGTCCATCGGAGGTGTCGCATGAGCTGGAGACCAAAAAAGACAGACAGGAAGTGATTCAGAGGGAACATTCAACTCACATTTGTTATTATTATTATAATTTTTTTAGAGTAAGCTGTCAAAAATATCTAGTATATAATCTTATTTTGAGCAGATATCAGCCATCACTGCTCTCATACCTGGATGCAGTTCTTCATGTTATCTTTGCTGGGCTTCTCCTCCAACATCTTTGAGGCGTATTTTAAGGCTCGGCCGTACATCTTGTTCACGAGAGCGTGTTTGTAGGAAAACATCAACACCTGAGCAGTGGAAAAGACAAAAGACAGACAAAATATTAGCTTAACATTTAGTATATCCACCCAAATTCATAAAATTGAGGGGAAAATAATCACAGGTAAGGGGATAAGAAGAACTGATAAGTCTGGCAATATTCTCTATTGTGTAACTGTCAAAAAATCTCAAAACTGATCCTACAAACAAGTGAAGTCTATAAACAAAGCCTGATGCAACATTTTCCTCACGTTAGCAACCTCTATGAGCACTGTAGTTTATTTTAAGTCAATCCCACACACACTGTCCTGCTGCTGTAAACACACACACAGAAACAAATGTATGAATCATCAGGAGAAAATAGACCCCACAGATATCTACTTCTGTTTATGTAACGTTCACTTAAAACTACAGTGCACAGTTTTAAGAAATTCTTCAGCCTTTTTTAAAAAGAAAATAATACAGTATATGTGTTACTTGTTAGGGTTGAAGCTCCTGTAGGCGCAGGACCCTACTAAGTTTGTTATTATTAGTGTCTTATAACACTGCTCAAATTGCCGGGAGCTGGAGTGAGCTGTAAAAGTGAAACTTTGCCCAATAACTGGACATGATGTACAAATGCCAATCTGCCACATGGTGGCACTGTAATTAACGCCCTGAAATGCCACGCTCCCCCACACTGTAGGTCAAATTGACTTGAAATCTGCGACACATATCCAGCTCAATGTGCTTTACAATAAGAGTCCCCCATGATGGATTTTTCATTGATTTGCATTATACGACAGACACTAACTACTTAGCTCTATCAATACCAACTTTGTTACATTACATTGTGGGTTAGAGTTTCACATTTCTATTATAAAAGGAGCAAGATTGGTTGTAAAACATGGCCGCCATCAGTCAAAAACACATCACAAAAGGGTAGACCTAAGCAGGATACAGACCATAACCTAAGCAGTCTTAAAGCAATCCCGATTAAGCTCAGTGGAGACATCCTGCACTATGTCCTGAATTAACGCACCAAGTTTCGTTCACATCCAATAAAGAAGGTTGGAAAGGTGGGACAGTGCAATTATAAAAATGCTGCACACACTGTTACAATGAAACAAGTGTGTGATTAATCTCTCTTTATTTAGACAAAACTGCACCAGCTGAAGTGACATGTTCAGCTTTGTGAAGCCCAAAACCAGCTCACTGCTGCTTGCGGTTTTCGATTTTGTCAGGCGAGCTGCTTCCTTTTGTTGGCCAAGAAAGAGCCAGAACCCCTGACTGCTGCTACCAGCTATATTTTCATTGAGATTTATGTCTTCAGTAGGAACCACTGGGCATGGTGGTACAGACAGGACAGGGAATCAGCAAAAGGAAAAAATACAGAATATCACCACTAGCTTTATCGTGTCATCTCACATGGCAGATAAATTCAAAACAGAATACTAACTTTGTAACTACCTTAACAATTAAACAACTCTGACCTTTCCTTAATTTCCTAAAAACATTTTGCTCACCTTGGAGTCAGTTAGCTCCGCCCACTTCTGCACCTCCCAAAATGTATCTGTCAGTGTTTTAACCACGTTTTGCACGGTGTCTTCAGAACTGCTGGCCACCTGTTCCACAACCTCCTCTTCTGCTGCCGCTGATCCCGTGGAGACAGCACCAGCGCCGTCCTGCGGTGCCGGGGGCAGCAGGAGCTGGTCGGCCAGAGCTGAGCCCTTCCTGCACAGAGCGTCCAGCAGGGACGACTTCTGCTTCTCCATGTCACTGAAACACAGGCGTTAAAGACAGGTCAGGATTTGAGCTTTGAGGTCCAGTAATCTTTATTTGGATGATCTACTCAGGGTTTTCCCGGGGTGTTTTATAGTAGAGAATAATAATTAATAATAATTGAGCATATCTTGATGAATTCTAATAATGTTCATAAATCTATTATCTATAACATTCTTCAGTGCGACATACGTCTTGATAGAGGCAGCGTCAGGCCGCGGGTCTGTCTTCATGGTGAGGTAAACTGCCAAGGCTGTCTGGTCGATGTGGGAGATGACAAAGTCGGCTGCTGACACCACCTCCTTGAGACGTTTTAAACGCTCCTGTACACAAAGCGAAGGAGGAGAAATGACTGTGAGCAAAGACAGTTGCATAATTTAGACTCCAGAGGAAGATAATTAAATCCTCCTGGGATTGATTCCCATCAAAGCTTCCTCCATTTCCTCTTTCTGGTGTGTACCGTTACCTTTTCAGAGTCCAGCTGGTGCAGTCTTTGCACATGCAGCGGAAGGTAATCTTGGTAGGTCTCCCTTAGTTCATCATAGATGGCGCTGGAGTCCAACCTTAAGCACAAAGACAAAACATGATAAATGGGCAAATGAAGAATATAGCAAAGTAAGCATTTGTGCTGCTGAGCAAAACAGAAGAGCAACTGTGCTCACTTTGTCATCCACTGAATCTTTAAGTCCCTCATGGCTTCTGCAAACTCCTCCTTCACGTCTTTCTCTTTGTCTCCTTCCTTGTCCTTCTCCTTCCCTCCGTTCTTTGCTTTGTTGGGAGCAGGGATTAAGTGGTAGATGACTGAAACGAGATCCTGTGTGAACACACAAAACACAGTTGAGTCAAAAAGCAAAATTTCACACATTTAATAAAATCCCAAACCTCTTTTGCTACTCTGAATCAGCATCCCAAATTCTCATCCTCTTCCTACATACATCATGATATATATATATATATCAAGACCCAGTGATACAAGGTGAAAATAGTGCTCATTATCATTTGTTGTTGATATTTATTAGTAATTTTACTGACCACCAGAAAACTTTCACTATTGTATATTAAAATAAAAACTTGTTATGGCTAGCCTGGTGCATATTTCAAGTAGGCTTGGGTGGTATCACAGTATGACGGTATACCAGGGTATTTAGAATTCCCAAGGGCATGAATTTTAACACCGTAGAAAGCACAGATACTCCTCTTTCTGTTTAACTAATACAGAGATGTCAGATGTCAGTCACTACTGGCCGCTCAGCTGAAAAACAAAACAATGGCAACTGCAAGTGTAAAGGTTAATGTTAAAGGATGAGTAAAAAAAAAAAATTAAGACCTTTTTCACATCCATACTGGCTAAGTATTAAGTATATGAAGGAAAATAAAGTTTAAATGTTATTTCACTGCTGGACAGATGGTCTTTTCCTAGAACATGGCTCTCTATGCAGTAGAAAGAGACAAGTACTTCTGACACTGGTGCTACATGACCAGGGCAAACAGAGGAAAAGGACTGTGGCATTTACTTTTGCTTAAGAGGTAGAAAACCTTCACCACCCAGAATGCACTGCACTGCCCCACAACGGGCCAATAAATGCTTAAATGTAATGCAAGTCTGTCCATTTTTCTACAGGAAAAGATATGGTGGCGGGCTGGTAACAAAAACATCTGAGGTGAGAAACTGTTAACACAGTATCAACATTCTTGGTTCATATTTGATCAGCATTGCTTAGTTTTACCGTTTGATCTTTTTTTTGCCTCCATTTTTAAAATGAAAGGAAACAGTATTGCGCCTGCTTTCTGTTCACAGACTCTCATATTACAGACATACAGAGCACTAAAATATGTTTCTGAAGACATTTTAGGTGAAAAACAGGCAATACAGTGACATGATCTTGATTTACATTAGATCAGCACTGCCTAGTTTGATCTCACTTTGGTCTGATTAGAGAGAGAGAGACAGCTCATGTCCATGATGGCAGGCATACGAAAATACAGAAGTACAATCTGTAGTTAAAAAAAAGCCCAAAAGCCAGCTAAAAGCTGCTAGATAACACAACACGTGACAACCAGCACATTCGAGCTGAGAGATGAGTAGCGCGATCTGGTCTGGTCAAATGGAGTTAAGTTTACCACAATTCATTTATAGATACATACTACCCACATTGATGTGACACAAAGCTGGTTGAAAATCCACAAAGCATTCCCTTTATCACCAACAAGTTAAAGTAATTACTTCTAGTAGTAGCTGTTTTTTTGATGAGAGGAGATGCAACGTTAGCCCACATACTACACTAGCTAGGTGTGTTCTGTTAAAATCTGATGGGCCGGCACAGTTTTCATTTGTGGTTACTGGTTCCCAAAAAGACATTTATAAGTGAGATTGAAGTTAATGCAACTTTATAAATGTAATGTTAACTTCACAATCCAATCAAAGCCAATCAAAATCCCATTTAAGACATTTTCAAGCCTTAAATTCAGATTACTGGATTTTAACTTTGCAAGGACTGACAGAAACCCTGTAAAAATCTGACCAGCAACAGCAGAGAGAGACAAAGGGGTAAAAAGGCATTATGTTTCACATCTAACTCTGTGAACTAAGGGTTTATTTAGATTGCTACAACACTAACAAACCAAGTGGGTTTTAATTAGTTTTACTTTGTTGGTTTGAATGAAGTGTGTTTTATGCTGAGTCGACAAGGCAATCAAGCAAGTCTTAGTTAAGTGATAGAGAGAAACTTGGATTCTTACGGTGTATGGTTGTATTGTTGTGTTTAAGGACAATAGGTGTAAGAATATTTCCTGTCTTGACACTAAGTGAGTTCAACAGACTAAAAGAAACAAAGAGAGCTTGTTGGACGTAGCGAACCTGCCACTCGGGAGCACAAACACCATCATATATCGTACACCCCTGTCAGGAACGTAGGAAAAATATAGATACCACCCAAGCGTAATTTCAATACAGCAAAAAAGACATGCTTTGACAAAATCAGTAAAGATGTAACACATCCCATCTTAAGGTAAGGAATAAGCCATTTCCTGATGGTAGGAGAGCAGTGGACGCTCTGTTGTACAGTGTTTCTAGCTCATCCAGTACCTTTTTAAACTTTCCTTGTCGTTTTGCAGAGGCCTGCCCCTGGTGGTCAGAATAACACACAGTAAGGAAGAGACAACACAAACACACCAAAAAGGATTCTCTCTTTCTTCATGTTCTTTTTGTCTTTCATCCTGACTCAGAGACTCAGAGTCTAATCCACCTACCTGTCACATTTAAACAAACAGTGGTGTAATCCTTGTTGCTGACAAGCTCAGATTTCTATCTTGTGTTCATATCTTACAGATCAACTTGTTTTTCTTACATCTGCTCTGCCACAAGGGTTAAGCACTGCATCTTCACACAGAAATGAAAACTACAGTAAAACAAGGCGTGATCTTTGACTTTAAGATGATAAATTCTTGTATGTGTGAGAGACTTAAACAATGAACAGACTTTCAGCAATGCAATGGCAAACAATATGAAACACACTGAAAGAATATGCATTTGTAAATGAGTGCTGAAGTTTGACAGAAGGATCTTTGCGTTGGAGTTCAGCCAAAGATCCACAAAAGCTGTTTAAACAAAAGTATTCAGATGTGTGTGTAATGAAACCCCTGCAGCCCATAGACGGTGAAAATAAGCTCCAGAAATAAAACATTTGCCAGTGTATTTTGTACAAATTGCAGTAAATGTATTATTTTTGTTGTTCCCTTTAAATAAATATTTCATTCAAATCAATTTCTGTTGGTTTTTTTCCTGCACATGCACCTCTAAGTGGGCTCAACAGAAAGTAAGCAGCACATTCCAGCTGTTAACAGATTTAAGAATCTCGTTCACCAATGCTCTGATTCTCAATTGAATAAGTAAATTTGGTCTTATTTTTAATCATTTAACATTTTAGAACCTTGGCGCTTGTGTTCAATGTGGAAAAAAATGGTCATATTGATGTTCAGATGTACGATGGGTATTAGGGCCACATTGAGGAAAAAATTTCAAAAATACGTTTCTATTATTACAAGAATAAAGTCACATTTTTTAAGAAAAAAAATGTTAATATTATGAAAATAAAGTCAGAATTTAGTGAGACTAACGTTTAACTATTTCAAGAAAAATAAGCCGTAACATTACTTGATAACATTCGGAAATATACAGTGTGCATTCAGCAGCTTTATACATCCTGAAAACTTAAAAATAATAAGTCAACTAAGTCTAAAAGTAATAAAACGACATTGTGCCTTGCACTGGCAAGAAACTCTTGTGCATTAAGCATTTATCTATCATATCTTTTCTACTTTAGGGACTTTGTCGCTCTTTATATCATGTCACCTGACTTTCTGGCATAAATATGCAAGTATTTTTCTTGGGAATGTACGAGTTCAATCACATAATATTCTGACTTTTTGTCTTGTAAAATCATGTCTGTATTCTCATAATATTGTAACTTTTTTCTCAAAATCATATGACTTAATTTTTATTATTTAACAACTTTATTCTCATAATATTATAATTTTTGTTATTTCAAAATTACCACATTATCCTCTAAATTTCTGATATATTTTCCTCAGTGTGGCTCTAATACTCCATTGTACAGATTTCTTAAAGAAAGGTTTAAAGGTGGTAAAATGTTGCATCAGTGTGGTAACTAAGGCATCATATCTGCACTTCTATTGAAAAATGGTAGTTAACATGCAGCCCTAGTGAACATATAACACATAACCTGAAGCAAAGTCATTTCAGACGTTTTCTTTTGTTTTGTTATTGTTCCCATTTAATATTTGTTATTCTAAAATTGTCCATGAAAGCCAGCAATAAAATTAAGGTCCAGAAGCTGCAGACTGGCTGACAGTCATTTTGACTTGATCATTTTAGCAACTACAAATACTCTTACTAATCTAGAATCTGATGAGCCAATAAACAGCCAGATCCAGTCTGTCGAGATCTGACAGTGGTGATGACATGAGCAACATCAAATTGTGTTTTTAGCCTAACAGCTGAAACACAGGCAAAGGCAATGAGTGAGGAAAAATAAAACACGGCATGCACTGACCAAAAGAACAGCAACCAATTAAAGATGCTTCACACCAGACCCAGCAGGTCTGAAAGTGATGACACATAAACTATACCAAACCTTAAAAGGGGAGAATCAACAAGCTTTGGAGCACAAGTCTTCACCCCTGATCCTCAGGACCACAAGTACTTCGGGCATCACATTGTCAATAAGTGAATTTCAGATTTTAATCATTAATCAGATCAAACTAAAGGATTGGCACACTGGCAATCGTAACCAGATATTCTCTACTGTGTAGTTTGTTATGTTTTCAACAATTTGTAAAAGTCCCGAGTTAGAAAAGGAGACTGAAAACACCCATGACTTTAGATCCCGAGGGGCAGGACTGGCGACTGCTCTTGAGGACAGAGGGTAACAGCAATTAAGGTCACTCACTGCTTTCTTGCCATACTCGCTTTTGGGGACAACCAGGGAGCCTGAAAGATAGCATCCTGGACTCGTCCCTTTTGGGATCCTAAAAAAAAGGGGTAAACAACAGGAGAAAGACAGTGATAGAGAGAAGAAACATGAACATAAAACAAGATTTGATCACAATTATATAACGAAAACTGAGATATTTATTCATATGACTTTTTCTAACCAAACATGCACTTATGTAGCAGTGCTATGACCTTTGAGATTTAAAGTCAAAATGAAATGTGTGTGTCTATTCAACTATGTATGCCAATGTATTCTAATAACAAAATCCGTCATGTTTTCATCCTATAAAGCAAAATATGATGTGTGCTTATAAGCTAGTACTGACCAATTATGTCATGACATCCACCCATAAATCAATCTGCAACTATTAACCGCACAAAGCCAAGATAAAGTTAGCTAGCTAGCAACTGTATGGTATGTCAATGTGTCTTCATTACCTCAAAATACAATTTATTCACTTTGAGGAAAGTGTATCTGCAACAGCTCCAGGTTATGCTCAAGGCATTTTACAGCAGGCTGTTTCAGCAACTAATGTTTAATGGAGCACATGTAGACTTTGTCTCTCTCCCTCCCTGGCAGATACTACTCTATCGTCTCTGTTACAACACCAGGGCCTCACTGTTTTGACGCATTTACTTCTGATCAATCATATCAAATTCCTCCCAATGTTATACCCGTGCTCCTATCCTGTATGACTGGGAGATACGTCACAATACTAACGCTAGACGCTGCCAAAATGCTTCATCTGGTTTCATCTGGACTTGATTACCTTTGATAAAGGGTACTTAAATGAAAGATATGGAGAAAGAGAGTAAGTATCGCCTGACTAGAAATATCTTAAGTTAAACTCAGTGCTTCAAGCTTGATTCTCCAACCTTAAAGATAAGTGTTACCTCACATTTGATCAGTGACACAGTTCTCTTCTGTTTACACAGATCACAATCTTCATCTCAAAGCAGGTTTAACGAATTTCCTATTGACTGTAAGAGAAATAATCTACAGTTATGCTGAGTGTCACATCTCTCTTTGTCAGTGCTATCTTGTCATGGAGGACTGTGGATATGTCCTGTCCTATCAAGTTCAGCTGACTGATTCTTTTGAACGTAAGGCTTTTTTTGCTTTGTGCATGATAAGTCCCTCAACACGATCATACAACACAAATGAAAAGTCCCTTGCCAATCGGACTCACTTGTCGTCTGGCAGGGATGTGACGTAGAAGGGCTGGGTGGCACCCGGGCACAAGGTGATGGAGTTTGCCTTCTTCTTGGCCATGAGAGCAGCACGGTGCGACTCGTAGACATCCAGACTGAGTGTGGTGGACAGACGGTGAGAAACCACAAACGGTAGGTCCTTGAGGCGCTCCAGCTCGCTGGACTGCTCGTGGCGGACCTGCAGACGCACAGTGTAGTCCCCTTTTTCCAGCTTCAGAGAATACTGGAGAAGTGAAACACACATTGAAGATGTGTTAGATCATGGTGTGCACACAAGGAAGGTAGTGTTCTTATCCACAATCCTACCATGCGCAAAATATATGAGTGAACATCATAGAAAGAAAAAAAAAAACCTGTAATCTTAAGGCCCAAATGCACTGAAAGCGCCTGACGTGCAGTTTTGAAGTACATCTATTAATAAATTGGCCAAACATGTGCCAAACACCTACCAATGCAATCAGCTATACTACTATAGATCTTAAACGTTGTGTCGTCACGTCAGATACTAAAAATAAGAAAAATAAAAGCTTAAACCTTTGGTAGTTACGTTCAAATCACAGACCCATCCATCTATTGTGTATAAAACTAAACACAACATAACATAACCCTAACAACAGCAACAGCAGGGACTTTCAACCATCTGGAAGAAAAAATAAAAGATGAAATGACATGGCTGGTGTCCAATGGCTTTACTGTTGTTCTACTGCCAAGCAGCTACAGAAAGCAAAAGCACGCACCCAACAGTTGCCCCCCTGCCTTCTGTATCATTACAGGTGACTCAAAGAGAAAACTGATGGGGATTTTGCCTAAGTAGCGACGTTTCCTAAAATACTGCTTGTTTTGTGTCATTTCAAATCTGATGCCTGCAGTGCAGCACAGGAGCATCAATTGATGCGCATCAAAGGAGACGCTTTCGGTGTGATCTCTCCATGAGGCTTAGCGTACCTGGTGTGGGTAGGCGTCCCCTGAGCCCAGCAGCCTCTTGTTCTGATCAAACAGCATCCAGAGCTGACTGTCAAACTCAGACTCATACAGCAGCTCACACAGCATGGGACAGCTGGGGGTGACCTCTCCACTCTTAGGCTGAGGACAGAGCATAAGAAGTTTAAACACACACAACAAAAAGAAAGAAAATCTATCACGTAAAGTGCTGGTGGCGTTGGTGGTACCTGGTGAAAGCTGTAGGTGAGGACAATCTCGTAGAGTTGTCGGTTGTTAGGCAGAACATCCCTCAGTCCCAGGGCTTTTATCTTTGAACTTATGGGCCTAAAACAACAACAGTTGTGAAACGATGAACTCTACTGATGTGAAACAATAAAATATACGTGTGTGTGTGTGGTGAGTGTGCATTTACCTGAGAGGCTGAACCCAAGACTTGAGGGTGATAGTGGGTGACACCTCCTCGTACCTCAGAGGCGACGACACATCGAAACTCGTCACTCCCTCTGAGGCATGCTGGGCAGAGACAAATGAGAGTTACAAACAGAGAAGTGATACTGTCTGGGTTGTAGGTGTTGCTAGTCTGTAAGTCTGCTCGCTTCTTACTATGTGCAGGGGTGAAGGGGAAATGTTCAGTCCATGGAACGAGATGTTGTAGTCCACTGTGACGTCACCCAAGCTTGCCCACCAGCGTGCAATGCACAACTCTACTACCCTTCCTGACTGGACAAGAGACAACAAACATGCAGAAATAAATCCACTGTTATGCATCCACAAAATATACTGACTAGGTACTTTTTTTTTTTTAGCTGACTCTGGTATATTTACAGAATGACATATGTGCAAAATCCCAGTCAACTAAACATGAAATAAATGTACCAGCACAGGGAAAGCCTCAGTTAGTGAGCCTCTTTCCAACAGCGAAGAGAACTTGTAGAATTCATTAGCTCTGTATGCTCTCTGCTTGACCAAGTGCACTGCATGGAGGACAAACTTTGACGACACATCTCCCGAATGAGACGTCAGTGTGATCTCTGCAAAAGAGAGTGGGTGACAGAGAGGTTAGAAACAGAAGAACAGTGAGTAAACAGAACGCAGACGATGACATGAAGAGTAAAACAGTTAACGTGCTGTACTGACCTGCCCAGGAGGCTCCCTGAGGAACAGTGATGAAGTGGCGTCTGATCTGGCCTGGTCTGAAGTGGACGTCTGTGAAACTCACCTCCTGATTACGACTATCCGTCACTCTGTCAGGTGAAAAAGAGAAAGCTGTCAAACACACACAAACCTTTTGACAGAAAAACAAAATCCCATTATTATGTAAGAACTTACTTGGCAGGGATAATAACTGTGATTGGGACTCTGAATAGGGGGCCACAGGTAGGTGCTGCTGTATCATACCCACACACCTATAAAAAAACAAAACAAAACAACATTCAAGAGTGACCAAATCAACAAAACAGTCCATCTTTTCCTCCACTTCGCTTTCCTGTCCCTACCTCTGTGTAGTGCACGCCCTCTCTCAGTCCCACAGGGTCGATACGAACATTGACATGACGACACTGGTTCATCAGCTCTAGATGGGAGGGGCACTGGACCCACGGGGCGGCACATGTGAGCGCCAAATGTAGCTGCAAGGAGATTCGCTCCGAGTTCCCTGTGGTGGATTTTAGTGAAAAAAAAAGATGGTGTGAAAGATTAAAACACTCGTCCACACTAAATCAAAATGCTGTAAATGTGGCTCCTAAGTATAAACAATACCCGTGTTTTCCGGGAAAATGGGTTCAATTCCTACTCCGTGATCTGAGGGTGCAAGGACGTGGGCTGGGTCCCTGAGGTAGATGCCTCTCTGTGATCCCACAGTTACTGTGAAGCCTAGGTGGCTTGTGGGTAAAGTGGCGTGTTGAATGAGGTAGTCTAATGCCTTATCCACCTGAGAGGAAGAAAGGGAGCCGATTACTGGGTGGCACACAGAATACTATAAAACTAAGAGACCATGCTGATACAATACACAGCAATGGAAATTTATGCCCTTGCCTGGATTATTCCATGACCCTGTGCAAACACCTCGATGTCATCAACCTTCAGAGCCGTGTGCTCCAGCGCTCTCCTCACCGCAGGAACAGAGGGAGGGATCCCACTTTGCTTCAGTCCTTTTTCACATAAAAAAACAAAAGAAAAAAATCACACTCTAGCATTACATTTGTATTCACACACACTTCCATACACGCAACATACTCCCACATCTACTATCAGTCTGTGACACTAGTCTCACCTGAGAGGATTAGTGCGATGCCTCCACAGGCATTTGGGGATGACATGGATGTGCCGTTCATCAGCTGGGTACCACGAAGAGTCCAATTGGGTACGGACGCAATCGCTCCACCAGGGGCACTGATACTGACCCCAAGGGCCCCGTCTGTACTGGGGCCCCTGGACGACCAGGTGTACTGGTTGGGAGGCAGCTTCTCCCTCAGGGAATACTCTGCCACCATCATGTCTGGAGTGACATATGCTCCAACTCCTACGAAGAGAAGGGAGCAGGAATGAAGATGATATCTGATCTGAGGTTTAATAAAAACCCTTATGTCATCAGCAGTGTATATGTACCTATGACACTGCTGGTGGTTCCCCCCGGGCAGCCAACCGTGGAGAGGCACGGGCCGTTGTTTCCTGCACTTGAAACAAATATAACATTGTGCTTCTGCACAGCCTCTGTGATCACCTCACAAATCCTCCTGAAAGACAAAGTGACATAAATCAGTGATAGAGTGCAACACAAAACAAACCCATACAATCATAGCCTCTGTTGCAATACTTACCCTGTATTGGGCCAGTGGGTGGCTTCCCCATAGCTATAGTTAACAAGGTCACACTTGTAGTTGATGACTTCAATCATCTTTGAGAGATAAGGAACAGGAAAAAATTAAATGGTGGGAAAAAAAATGAAAGAAAGGGTAGGCAAATTGTTCATCTATATTTATCTGAGCAGCATACCGCACGGATGAGTCCTGTGCCTGTTTCCATGGTGCTGAGGCGGGTGTCTCCAATCTTCAGAGCCAAGATTTGGGCACCGGGGGCCACACCGTTGCGCTCAGGCTCCTCTGGGAAGTAACCTGCTGCAATGCTTGCCACGTGTGTCCCATGAGCTCCTTTAAAAGCATACAAGCAAGTTAGATTGGAGAATACACTGTGGACTTTGCCTTAACGAGTGAACCTGCCATAACTGACTGTTATGCTGAGCATCTTTTTGTGTTCACTGACTGAATCATATGAAGGCTTCCTTTGAAAGGAGATAGATTGATGGATTATGTGCTTTGGTAATATCTCACCTCCACTGGTGACAATGCAGAGTGTGTTTCCTTCATCATAAATATTAACAGAGTAGTTGAGCATCTCAGCGTTTCCTAATGTGGCATACTCTTGCGACTCTTTGTAGGAGCTGAGCACAGTGCACTGGGACAGCTCTCCGCTCTCTGAAGTGTCGACCACAGCCCTAAAGAGACAAACAGTAACAGGCAACACGAAGGATGAGGACACTATTAATAAACAATACAAGGTAGTGAAAACTAAAGGTAAAAAAAAATCATGTACATAGAGGAAAACAGTCAGTATGGCTTACCTCCATGTGACACCGTCATGCCAGAGCACACAGTCATACACGGGACCAGGATCACTGTACTTCTTTTCTAGTGATGCCAGCAGCTCTGACTGACTCTGCAGCTCTTCTTTCTGCAATTTCTCTAACTGAAGAAACGAAGCAAGAGGGAAGGGCACGTGTGAGAGGGAGAGTAGAGAGATATCAGATTAGGAAACACCACATTACCGTGGCTACCAACTGCATGGAAACACTGATAGGTACACAAAGAACTCAAGGTTGTAGGTCTGACCTGTGAGGGTGTTGGGTGAGAGAGGTCAAACTCTTCTGTCTTGCGAGACACCTCAGCTAGTGCTGCTCGGTGTGGTGGGTCCCACATTTTCTCCTTTCGTTCTTTCTAATAAACAATAACAAAAAAAGTGTCTTTACATATCCATAGAGGAATAGATTTCCATTCATCTTATCTACAGGATTCTGAATATATACACTCTTGTTTTACTAGTCTGGATTAAATATGTCCAGCTTGTGTTTGGGTTATCTAGCCTGTGCAAGTCACCAGAGCTCTATGCACTGCGCACAATCATAGTGTTGCAAAAATCAAACCTGTGACAGATCTAGTACAGCAATAATGTCATGTCTCCCTACCTGTATTCTTTCTTTGAGAGCCTTAGGGAAGAACTCGTAGCCATTTTTAACTCCAATGCGATACTTCCCTGATGGATTGACCCAGGCAGGAGGGATCTGCGGGACATTAAAAGACACAGTGTCAGACAAATATGAAAATACATAGTGTAGGTCTGGTCAAATATGGTTAGATTTAAAAATGGGACATACATAATTGATGAAAAAAATTATTTCAGAAGTAGGACAAAACCTGTGATGGAACATATCTTCTCTTCCTTTTTGTTAATAGTCTCAGGATGTCTACTGACCTTAAGTGTTCTACCAGAGAGGCCAGCGATTGTCCCATCTTTAGGTTCTGCTACCGTCGCCATGTTCACGTCACCGCTGCCTGTTGTATCGATGATGTCGACAATCTTTGGCTTTCCCTCAGTTGTGACCTCAAGAAGGAGAAATAAACAGGGTTGAAATTTAATTTTCCTTCCACCTGCCACTGTGATTGGTGGAATCAAGAATCTACTAGCCACTCAATAGTAAGACAATGTTATTTTTAGCTGGTGAGTGAAGCCAATCTTGCAGGGACTTTTACCAACATTTGGCTTGTGGCTGGTGCTTGTTACCAAACCTTGTTGCAAAGTAAGCAATTAAAAATTATTTAAGATAATTAAACTAAAAAGGATGCACAATCAGTAAATTTTACTGACCAGGAAAGACTGTGGATATTCTTACTTAAATCTGAGCAAAGTATAAACCATCCTGCAGAGTGGATAAACTTCCAGTGCCTTGCAACAGCAATGCCCCACTTTATACACATTTGTTTACACACACTGAAAGGGTCAGACTCAGATTCTGCAAGACTTACGCAGAGTGACATGTGGTTGAAGATAAAAGGTTGATCTTAACTCAATGTAGTGACGTGCCAAATAACCTACCTACACAGACATAACTGTATGCAAATTGACAGGCTTTAACCGACTTACTTAATACTGTGTACCTAGCTAACGTTAGCTTAGCTAGATTCCAGTGTGACTTTGCAGTAAGCATGTAGTTGCGGCTCACTAACCAACAAGTAACCGTTCATACATACATACATGTTTTCGTCACTATAAACTGTAGCTGTAACTATAAACAGCCAAGTCGTATTTAGCCTCACCAACTTGAAGGACAAACTGTACTGAGAAGCCTGAAAGACACTGGAGCAGACATATTCAGCTGTTAACTGCCAAGCTAACATGCTAGCAGCTATACCAACTAGCGAACGTTACCGTTAGTTACTTGTAAGTTAACTAGTCAAGCACCGAAACACAATTTGACAGCAGGGGAAAACACTGGCTGTCAGTTACTTTGTGTTAATTTGGTTGTCATAAAAGCTGCCAAGCTAATTGTGATAACTGTGTGAATTTATCGATGCTAGCAATGTAGCTAGTTGTAGCCGTTGGGTGACTGAGTACTAATTAATGTGAATGAGTCGGGCCTTTAGCATTGCTAACTCATACAAGCTAGCTCTGAGCTAACGTGAAGCAGCCGGTCACATTTACCTGCATGCCGGGGGCCCCGGGATCCACGCCGGTGTCGAGGATAGCGATGAGCACTCCTCGGCCATCGTACTCGGGGAACCTGGTGAGGTAAGACGCGGCGCCGGTTTCTTTTTTGGGGAGCAGCCCGTGGAAGGGGAACGGTTCTTCGGTAGAATGGGCAGCCATGATCAAAAGAGCGACAATGAAAACAAAGCAGCGAAATGGGGAAGAGAGCAACACGGTGAGGGAGACGGGGAGGAGAGCTGTTTAAAGGGGCAGTGACAGCCACATCTCTGTGTAACCTCTATGCAACATGCCTTTTAACATTGTTTTTTAACCTTATAATGTTTGACCTACCATATCATCACATTAATTTTCCTGATCAAGCTGCCTTTCTAGCACTATATGCCTGGACCCTGAGTTATCCTGTACTATAACAAGGGCCCAACTTCACAGTGTGCCAGTTAATTCATGGCAATTTGCTAAAGTTGATTAATAGTTTTTACCCCACAGCCATTGCACTAAAAATAAATTGCACTACCATGGATGATTGTGCAAGAACTGCATTGCACTTAATCTTGTCCTTTTTAGAGCATGTTATTTATCATTCATTCATTTTCCGTAACCGCTTATCCTGTTGGGGGTTTCAAGGGGCTGGAGCCTATCCCAGCTGACATTGGGAGAGAGATGGGGTACGCCCTGGACGGGTCCCCAGACTATCACAGGGCTGACACAAAGACAGACAACCATTCACACTCACATTCACACCTAGAGTCACCAATTAATCTGCATGTCTTTGGACCGTGGGAGGAAGCTGGAGTACCCAGAGAAAACCATGCTGACACGGAGAGAACATGCAAACCTCTGGGTTCAAACCCCCCCACCCTGGGTTCGAACTACAAACCCTCTTGCCATGAGGTGACAATGCTAACCACTGCATCACTGTGATGACCTTATCGATCATATTAATCATATTTTAGCCTTATCCTATTTTAATGTATGGGCATATGAGTGTGTGTTGAGTGAATTGAACAGTTTTCTTTTATGAGAGGCAGCAAATTTCATTGTATGTGAACATGCGATGGCAATAAAGGCATTCATTCATTCATTCAAGACGATTTAAACACTAACACAACACAAACTGAAGCAACAGAGGCCCCAAAGAGGAACAACACCCATTTCGAGAATTTATACAGACAGACCAAAAAATATTCGTAAACATGAGCAACTCTCTTCCAAATCCAAAAGCTAGAGTGCTAAAACTGAAATCTGTGATGTCACAGGATATAAAGTCTGGAGCTGCTCTAAAGACACTGAATTGGGAGAAATGTTTTCGATGACACTGGGAACATTCTGAGTATGTGGGCACATTTTCAGAACGGATAACACTACAACTGAATAAAGTTTATTTGGGTATATAAAAAAAAAAAAGAGAAAAAGAAAACAAGCATTCTGTGGATCCGCAAATTCCAGCTCCCAGTCAGTGTCTGTGGAGCAGCTCCATAATTTATACCCTTTGACATCACAAGTTTGAAGCTTATTTCCCTGATTTCTGGCTTTAAGAGAGTAGCCCATGTTCACAAATATTGATTGAAATTTCCTAGGCCATGGAAATAACATATTGGAATTCTTAATTTAGGTGGTGTTCCCCTTTAAGGGGGTACTGCATTTTATCAAAGTTTGGGTCCGTGTTGTGGGCTACTATTAGTGTTCTTCTGCATAGGGTATGAAATATGTCTGCACCACAATTTGCTTTGCATCAGTAACATTCACATGAGCTTCATGCTGTCTTTGAACTCCAAGAACAAAATAACTAACTAGCAGTTTAGAGAATCATTAGAAGATGTAATGTGTGCAGCAGTGTTGGGCTCAGGAAACTAACTTGCCTATGTGCTTAATCAGAGCCCAGAAGGCAATACTTGCTCATTACACAGTCTAGATAATGTACACAAAAAGCCCTGCACACAGAACACCCATGGTATGCACACACAGGTGCTTTACTTGACTGACTGATAAGCTGTGTGTCAGCATGTACAAACAGTAGTCAATTGACATCTCCCTCACTCTGCTGTCAGCTTTGCTTCATCTGTGTCTGTGAGCAGTAAGTGTGCAGAAAATTAGCCTGCACTTTTAGCAGTTTTGGATTCGGTGACACCCCTGCACCCCCTCTGAAATCTTCACCTATGCTTCATAATGTAGCAGAGCTCAGTAGTCTACATCTGCTATACATTTGCAATCGCTTATTGTGCTCTCTAAAAACTATATCATCCTAATACTAGTTTGAGAACATTGTAAAAAAAAACAAAACACAAATTATGGGTTATATTTTCTCTCCGTTTTGTTAACAGAGCCTCCTGTTTGAGGTGTTCCAGGCATGTCCCACTGGTAGGAGGCCCTGGGGCAGACCCAGAACATGCTGGAGGGATTACATATTTCGTCTGACCTGGGAACACCTTGGGGTCCCCCAGGAGGAGCTGGAAAGTGCTGCTGGGGAGGAGGACGCCTGGGGTGCTTTGCTTGGTCTGCTGCCCCAGCGACCCAGCCCCAGATAAGCAGATGAAAATGTATGGATGGATGGACATGGCACTTAGTTCTGAGTTAACTCCTTAGGCTGAAAATAAGTCTTTAATTATGTGAAACTGTTTAACTTGCATTAGGCGAATCTCACAGCAAAATTAGGACCAGCATAAATCTATAGACCAGTCTAAAATATCTGTATGACTATTGCTTCCATCCTGTAAATCTTGTAGTTGTTGTCACTGGCACATAAGTGCACACTAGGTGGTGCTATAATACTGATGTTGTTTCACTGCTGCAGTAAGACTTTGTTCTCTTAGCGCTGACAAATCTTAAGTCATTCAAAGCAAAGTTTGGCAGTGCTGCTTTATTGATTCTGTACCATAGTGAGCAACAACATAAAGGACATTGATGTCTAAAGATCTATCTTTCAGACAGCTTTATTAAAATAAGTCTTCATGCAGCCATTCATCATTTGAAGAGACCAATCATAATGCACTTTGTATTTACACTGTAACTCACATCTGATTCTGCTAAGTAAATCTTGCATGCTCTATATTTCATGTATTTAAGTCTGCGCATGTACTGCACATTTGGTGTAACTTCCTTCCTTAATGTACGGCTCTGCTAAGTACACATATATCCACACATATCCTACTTTCTATGAGGCTGTTATTTAAACTGCAGATTTTAATTGAATCTTGCATAAAATAAACGGATTGAATATAATTCTTTTTTCAGCTTTTGTTTTTCTCATTTACAATCAAAGACCTTGGATAAATGTTTTGATCACTAATTTAACTGAAAGGATGGAGAAATGACTCTGCATGTGTTGCTCATTAGTTTTTCTTTAACCCTACTACTAGCCTACAGCAACATTTCTGGTTTTTTGTATTTTTATGTTCTACAGATGCAGTGTCGAGGATGGAAGAGGGTGGAAACAATCAACTCAAAATAACAAATCTGATCAACATGGAGGATATGTGAGTTGAATATCTTAAAGATACATTTGCACTGATGTTCTGTCCACATACCAAACCACATTGATTCTTCTAAAATTTGATTCATGTACTTTTCAGAGATTTCACTTGTTTTTTCCATAATACCAGGATTAACTTTGCACATGTCAATCCGCCATCTGTTCAACCCAGTGCTCTCTGTCTCTATCACATAGATCCATTCACATATGTACACTATACGTAACGGTGTGTGCTTCCACTTCAAAAAAAGAAAACAGCCCAAGCCACAGTAGGGAGGGCTTTGTGTAAGCTTGCAGTTATTTTAAGTGTGCCAACGCCCTCAAACACTGCTCTGGTGGCTGGCTTGTGCATAATAAAACAACAGTGAGCATCCTTTCACTAATCTGCTTAGAGTCAGCATCTGCCTTTTCTTCCTCTTTCTGTCGATGGTTCTGTATTGTCACACATGCACATACACATGTACACAGACACTGTATGATGCCACTTATAGACATATTTTGACACCCATTCACTTTTGCTCAAGATAAATTAGACCTCCGAAATAAGAGGGGCCTTTTCTGTTCCTCTGTCTTATACTATTAACACACTCACACACACACATGCCGTTACTCACACGGGCTTGTGGTTTACCACAGGGCGTAGCCACTTTAGCTAAACTGAAATAAATGTACGTCATAAACGTCTTAAAAGCATTATTTCCCTGACTGATGTTGTGCATACAGCTACAAAAAAACTGTATACTCCTCCCATTTTTGCTCTCAGATATGATACTGTTTTGGTTGTATGTCAAGATAGGAGCAACCCTTGACTCTTGCATTGTGGTCTTATATCATGGTGATTTGACTGCTGTTACATCTGTGCATGCAAATGTAAAGTCAAGAGGATACTCCCCAGTTTACCTGCTGGACTAAATGTTCTTTGAATGAAGCTGGGGCCTGAGTCTCTTTCCCGTCTTGCCACTAGCTGCACAAACAAGCTGACAGGATGTGGCCAATATAAAGGATCTACAGTATTGTTGTTTCCCCCCTGTGCTAGGCTTTCTTTAATATAAACTTGTCTTGTGAGAGGTTATTTATATAACAGGAGTAATACCATGGTTATTATTTGTGGAAGTAGCAATAGAGTTTCAGAGGAGATAGTCAAAGGCACACAAACCAACTGCATCACTGATATGCATACGCAGGCACAATATGCACATTCAGCTGGTGCTGGCAAAAGTCCTCAGATGTACTTTACTGCAGCAACAGTCAGACACAAGTAAAATGCATGTATTCTAAAATGAATTTATGCAAAATATAAGCATCAAAGTATACAAGTCCTATTGGAATTTTAAGTAAGTTTATGTCACTAATGTTGCAAATGGTAAAAGTGGGGATCATTTCAAGTACTTTAGATGCTATTGGGGAGTTTATTTTATAATAATGCATCATTTGTTTTGTGTTATCTGACCTGGTGGAAGATGTATTCATTTCTTTAAGTACAGATGCAGCAATGGGGTGGCTGTGGCCCAGGAAGTAGAGCGGTCGTCCACTAATCAGTGGATCGGCGGTTTGATCCCTGGCTCCTTCAGTTCGCATGTCAAAGTTTCCTTGGGTGACATACTAAACCCCAAATTGCCTGTGTGAGTGCGTGTGAATGTTTAACTGATGAGCAGGTGGCACCCTGTATGGTAGCCTCTGCTACCAGTGTGTGAATGTTTGAATGGGTGGATGAGGCACGCTGTGTAAAAGCACTTTGAGTGGTCGGAGGACTAGAAAGGCACCATACAAATCCAAGTCTTTTAACCATTAAAAAAATACTCTATCACAAGCATTCTGATTCCCACTTTGGCACCGAAGTATTATCAGCTAAATTTATTTACAGTATCACAAGTTAAAGAACAAGTTCTGCAGGAAAAAGCCCCCTGATTGTGTTCCTCTATTACATATTACACTGTTAGTGAGTATGTATTGATGCATAAATGTATAAGCAGCACTTTACTGTTGTGTAGTGGAGTAAAAAGTACACATTTTTCCCTCTAAATGTACTGGACTGTACTGAAGTATGAGTGGCATAAAAGGGAAATGTACATGACTAAATGTGCTTAACTTCTTCATTCAGTTAGGTTTTAGGGTTGTTTCTGTGTGGGGACCATCATTTCTCTCCTTGAGCAGAGTCTAACAGGCTGACGCTATAGCAGTGAGACACACTGTATAGCCTAATTAGATTTAGAGCTGTTCTAAAGCAGTCACAGCTAATCCCCACACTTTAGCTGGCAGCAGAAGCACTGCAGCTAACCGTCATTCCTGGTAAAGAGACTGTCCGACTGTTCTCTTAGTCCCACATCTCTGCAGGGTTGGGCTCAGCCAGCTGGGTTTGTAGAGTGCTCCAGACCAGAGTCAGGCTATTTTGAGGAATGTGGTCATGGTGATCTCAGAGGCGTGGTCCAAAGAGGCTCAAGTGTGGGCTGATGATGACCCTGTGTCTTTCACCTGAATGGATGCTAAACCCTGACCAGACATCCCTCCCACAGGGCAGGCCCGAACCTCGTCCATTCTTCCATCTGTTAAATTTGGCCCGAGATCAGTGTCAACAGGAAAACAGGGACAAATTAATTCTTTCCAGGTTACTGCTGTCTTGTTTTGTGAATGCCTTTAGAAACATTTTCTCTTTTAGCTCTGTCATTACCTTGTTTCCATCAGCTCCCTTTGCTTGTCTGTCACCAAGTTAGTTTGATAGCGATTCAGATATATTACTAGCATTTCTTGTTTTATCTGTATATTGTAATTGTATCTCTGAGAGACACAGACTTATACCTTTCTAATCTTGATGGCATTTGACCATTAAATGAATGTGTATTGACCATAAAACCAAGATGATCTTGCTCCCTGACATTGCATTTGAGGATGAGTTAGAGGAGATTTGCACACCTGATGTCCCCTCTTTGATCAGAATCAATCATATTTGGTGATGCACACTGTTTATGGAACATAACACATATTATAAAGCACATTGATGTTTAAGTTTAAGTAATGATGGACTTGTTTTCATCTTTGTGAATTCAGCTACATATTTCTGTCACTATAAGACCATACTGTAGAAAACAAACCTCCCCTGACTCACCATAAATTTACATTTTGCTTCATGAAACATGGTCAATTCAGTTTAGATGCAAAGGGCTAGGCCTATGTCATGCCTTAAATGTCACTGTGCTGCCTTTTAGGGGATATTATTGTACACCATGTACGCTGAACTTGGCAGTGTTCACACAGTAGTTGTAATGGGGGTGAGGCTAATCCATAGTCATTTACAGCCTATAAAGCTCAGATCATGAGAGCAGCAATAGATCATTCGCTCCACAGAAATAACAGTTTAAAGCTGTTTTGTTGCTTTTTGCATCTGCAGGCTGTTTGTTGTAGAAAACAATCTGGGGAGATCCAATTCAGTCAGACCCAATGCTGCTGCATGTGGGGCCCATAAAGGGGTAGTCACAGTGAACAGCCACACATAATGCATTGCTAATTCTCAGAGAGGAAAGGTAAAAAAAAATGCTGATGTGTACAAGTACTGTGACCTCACATTGTCAGCAGTTACAATTATATATTTTGAAATCATTCAACATTATGAGCTAGTTTTTGTCAATTCAGAGTCTAGCCATCCTCATGACGCTGTGGCTCTGTATGAGGGGTGATTAATGCCAAAGAGGAGCAGGAACGTTGGAGCCTGTATGAGGGGCAGTTCATGCCAAAGACAGGCAGAAATGGTGTGTTTAGCCCCTTTTACACTGCCAGATTTTCGGTGAATGTTGGGCCATTTTTCCGGCAAGCTGCGAGCGTTTAGACACACAGAGCCAGATTGGCGAGTTGATCCGAGGTGCCCAATTTTCTGCCTCGTAGGGTAGACATATTGGCGGAACCTTTTCGGTTTAAAAAGAACTAGGCGCCCTTCCGCCATGGGAGGGGCTGTTGATGACTTGTAGGAGGAGCTGTTGATGACGCCGCACATGCGACCCACTGGCAGTGGACTAACAGGAAACAGGTGATAGCAGGAATGAGCAGCTAGTGCTAGTAGCAAAAAGGAAACGCAAACCTGACAGACACTGTAAAGATGAGCAACAGGGGAGACAAGGAAGTTTACCGAGAATGAGATTCAAAACAGAAGAAGAAGAAGAGGAAAAACAGAAGCGAGGAAAATGGAAAAAAGATAAACCAAAAATGTAAACACTAGAGTGACTATATTTGCCTATAGCGCATCACTAGGATTGTTATTTTTGTTATGACGGATGTACAATAATTTCCCTCAAAATACGATAATTTTGAGTCTCTGGTACGATAATCCTACATTTCCCACCTACATTTTACAACGCTGTACGTCACTGTTTACGTCACACGCTGAGCTACATGTTTGGTTGCTTGCTCACGCCCCCCATTGCCCTGAAAAAGGCACATTCTGTATGAACAAAAGTAGGCAGGCGGCATTTTGCTGCACTCCCCGATTTTGTTTTTATACTGCCAATGCTGAAAGAAGACTGATTGGGCTTTCCTGCAAATTCCTATTCAAAAAGGCCTTTTCATTTGTACTGGGAAGTCGGAATTTCCGAGTTCAGCTGAAACACCCCTGATGTCAGATTTCCAGTGTTGGGCAGCATTGTCACTACAACTAGTGACTTTACTAATCTAACTATATTTCTCAGTAGCTTGGTGGTAACGTTACTACTTCTGAGTCAAATAGCTTTTCAGTAGCCAAGATGATTAATTGATTGAGTACTGCAGTAGCGTCCACGAGCTCTTTTTCCCAGGAAAAGCTTTGAAATGCAGCTGACTTTTTTTTCTTTGGAGGCCTGGATAAAACTAAGGACAATAACACCGAGGATGAGTAATGTGCCTGACACCAGCGCCACACCCAGGCATGTAGACGAGAGAGGCATTTCCGCATGGCATCACATTCTATTCCTTCAGTTTATTTTTACTTGCTTCTTTTGCTACTTGATTTAGTTGGCAAGACCTGCCTTTCTCTGCCTGTGATTGGCTACATTGCACTTTTTGACATGTCTCTCACGTGTCTTGCCCATAGTATATGTATATGTTTAGTAAATTTGCAGTGGACACTAGAGAAATAGACACAACAAGGGCCAATGTCATCCAAAAAATAAAAGTTTCAATTTAGATCTGTTATTTTTATTATTGTCTTTTATTTATTATAGTTTCATGACTGGAAAAACATATTTTGGATATTCTGTATTTGAATTATTGACAGAGCCAGATAGCCTGCTAAAGGGACCAAGACAGAGAAATCCATTAAGTCGGAAGAGTAGAGAGGAACAGAGACGTCAATAGGCCGACTGATGATGTCATAATATGGGAGGACATGTTCAAATGTCACAAAGTCTTCAAAAAAATAAACTGAACGCAACTGAAATCAATTGACCTGTCACTAAGTCCTACACCCAGATGCAGACTGGCCAATCATAACGTAGCATTGGGCCAGCTATGATCAGGGTCCGACCTCAACACAGCTGCTCCATTCGCTCTAATACAATCCTTTTAGATTTCCTTCATTTTCAGGCTGGTTTTGTGGATTTGGAGCTAAATGTTGAGCCTGGTATTAATGATACTCATGGAGAGGCTGGAAAAAGATATACGTTTCTTCCCTGTTCCAAAACCAAAATCAGACCCTGAAAAGTGTAGTGTAGTGCTAACGTTAGCTAGCTACTGAAGATATAGCCTACTGAATGTATACACATGCTGCTTTTGCTTTTTAATGATTATAACAGTGAAACAAACCCTGCTGTACAGGAACCAGTGAAGGGAGCCAGGGAAACTTTGCTGATATTTAACCAGCTGTGTCATCGCATTGTGCACAGATGACATTGTTTGACTTCCCCTGGAGATTCCTGCCTGTCCGGCGGCGGAGGTCAAGATGTTGGCGGTGGCACAGGGGCGAAGCCAAACACACACTGCGATGATTTCGATGATATCGGCAAAGTTTCCCTTTATATTCATTGTCTTGTGTGGCGATCAGCAGTGATGTGGTGGTTCGCTGTTACACTGTGATCTGTAGCCTATAGTTCGGCTTTAGCTTCTAACTATCTTTGTCTTTTTAACCTGTTGTTGCTGCTGAGTCAGTTTGACATCCTGGATATATCCTTCAGACACAGACTGTAGACCCTTCTGTCTGCTTCTCTCTGGAAGCATGGTTTCATTTTTCCGAAAATGTGATAATATTTCTTCAGGGAGTGCAGTTAGACAGTGTGGGCTCCATGTTTACGCTGACAGCTTGTCAGACCATCACAAAGGGGCGGGGCTTAGTGAAAGGTCAATTGCCAGTTTTCTACAAGGGTGTGATTGTTGTTGCATGGTGTAACAGTAATTTGATCTATAGCTATAATCACAATTATGTTTAACCTTTTGTCAAACTGCCATGTTATTATTATTATCAGTCTGTTAGAGTCGGCGGGACTTTGGCTGTCCTCAGTTTCCTCAATGACACCACTTCCTCTCTTTCCTCTGTGGCAGGGATTACCCTCCATACATATTTGTGGGCGGTGTTGTTTGGAGCCACACCTCCACTGGCGCTGCTGCTGCTGCTGCTGCGGGACTGAAGCTCAATCTGCCCGCTTGTTCTCCACCAGCCAGCAGAAGCAGTGCTCGGGACCGGAGTGTGATCGCTGTCCGGACAGCATAGATGTGCAAAACCCCTGGATTATCCGTGCGCTGGAGAGACCAGAACCGACCACCGTGGAGGACTGTCTTTATCTAGTCGTCAAAAGGGAAAGAGCCACGGGGAAAGCATGGCGGTAGAAGAGGAAGGTCTCCGGGTTTTCCAGAGCGTTAAAATAAAAATAGGTAAGAAGAAAAAAAAATCCCTACCCCCAGTCTGAGCGCCTCAATGGATGGCTCCATGTTAATAACGGGCCAAGCAGGCAGTGAGGGCTGGAGACTGGAGGGGGCACAGATCTGTCTTGTTCCTGCTGTTATTGTAATTCAAATCACACGCTTTCCTCTCAGCGCTGTAAACCAACTGTAAAAATGTAAAAAGGGAGGAAAAAACCGAGAGATTCAAAAGCCTTGTGGGAATCTGGCAGCTGGCATAAGAATCCAAATCATGTGTGTTGGAGGTTCACATATGGAGACTTGAACTGCTGGGTGATATTTAGCAGGCTGTGCAACATAAAGGCTCCACAGCTGCACAGATCCAGATGCCTTTCCTGGACACTTCAGATCAAATAAAGCTTTATTACACCTTAGCTACAGCCACCCATTCATGTTATTGCAAGCCCCTCTTTCTCTCTCTGGCCTCCCCCACTCCTAACAGCTTTATGCTTAACTGTCTAGCTATTGATTGTTAGCCCAGATTTCTATTTTTAGATATCTAGCTGGTCTCCAGTGAGTACCCCTGGTTTGTAAGAGGCATGTGGTGCATGCATATCTTTTGAATGGAGCCATGAAGAGGCTGAGGACAGTTTGCCACAGAGGATTTAGAAGATTGTATCATGCATTAAGATTAAAAAGTTATTTTTCATTATTATTTTTTCAAGTAAAACTGTAGTAATTATATAATGGAGGCTGCACCTAACCACATATATCTCAAGGATTGAGCATATAATAATAATAATAATGATGAGAATATTATGGGGAAGAAATAATAGTCATATTAACACAAGGGGCCTGTAAGCTTACTTTTAAGTTACACTTTTGACTTATGTAGTTGAAAGTTGAAGCTAATGAACATTATTTTCTTGATTAGTCAGTTCATTTCTTGTCTTCAGATAGTTTGTGTTCTCCAACCAACCTTGGAAAAGCCAATATTATAGCTCAATAAAACCAACAAAAGCTGCCAATTTTCACATTTGTGAAGTTGTAATTAGAGAAAATTTGTGCCAGTTTTACCAGGAAAAGTAATTAAATCATAAATCAATGATCAAAAGACATTTTTTCATCAACTTATTTTTTGTTTGACCAGTTGTCTCAACTGTAATTATAGTAAACTGTGTTGTGTTTATTTTGTTAGGGGAAGAAGTCTCAAATGCTGCAGTCCGACCTGTTTGATAACATGTTCTTATTCTTTTATCCTGTTTAATATCAAAACGTCTAAAGCAAACAATCGTTTCCTCTGTCTGCACTAAACTGTTATCTCGGGTCAACACGGGGTGTTTGGAAGCGTCTGCTGCCGTTTTTCACCAGCATCTGGCGGGCCATTCATCCTGGCTCTGCTGTCCGGTTTGTTTTGACTCCAAACATGCGACAGGAGGGATGAGCGGAGGAGAAAAAATGACAACAAACACACATACAAGCTGTGGTGGGGCTGTGTGATGATGCCAGCCAAGCATCAGACAAAAACACTCTGATGGCCCTTTTTTTTTGGTGTGTGTGTTTCCAGTTGAGCCGATGTTTTTAAGCTCCTTACCTGCTGCTCAAATTGGCTGGAAACAGCTGGAGGGAGGACTCGAGTTTATCAAATAGTCCGGTCCCAGTGAGATGATACGCTCAGACCTGTAGCTCCGGGGAGAGCTGTAATGTCAAATCACAAAGGCCCTGTTAGATTGGTGCACTTTCTGAATGAGTGTTCAGTCAGCCAGCAGCGTTGAGTTCCTGTGAATGAAAACTGAATGAGTGAAGGACCTCTGGCCGTCACAAAGTCTTTCCTAGATACAAGCCTGCCTACTAATCATGCCAGCAAAGTGCAGCGAGCTGTGGAGGAAGTGCTCAGATCCTCTACTGAAGCAACAGCGGCAATAATCACACTGTAAAATCCTCTGTTAAAGTAAAAGTCAGTTTTTTAAAGTGTACTTAAGTAAAAGTCCAAAAGTTTTCTGACCTAAATGTACATAAAGTATCAAAAGTCAAAGTATTCATGCAGAAAAATCTCCCCCTGTGAATTAATATACTGTACATCACAAAATTGTTATTAATATATTACTGTGTCAGTCATATATTAACTTGGATTCATTTTTTAACTTTTCAAAATGACAGATTGAGATATGAAGCCCTTTATTTCACAATCTACAACCATGACTAGACTCTGAAAAGAAAGTTTCACTTTGAATCTTTTTCTTTGTGTTTTTATGTCTTTTCTTGTGTAAGTAGAGATCCATGCTTTTGGGGGCGGGACATATGGTTGCCATGGGTGGAAGGATGGAAGAGTGGTGGGGGGGTAAAGATATGATGGACGATGGCGAACAGTTACAGACATTATAAATTCGACCAGGAAATGGAAATAACATTGAATATATAATGGAACCACAGCTTCAATGTAACTTATGGTTAATGTAATGTATATTGGCTGTGTATGGAAATGAAAAAAGATTTTGATGGCAAAAAAAAATCTAAACTTTTTCTGGAAGTAAAGTCATATTTTGTTAAGTAACTAGTAGAGCTACACCAATTAGTCGGTAGGTCACTAGTCAGAGCATTGTTTTCATAATTGATTCATTGCTTAAGTCATTTTCTTAAACAAAAATGCCAAAAAGATGCTGTTTTAGCCTCAAATATGAAGATTTTCAGCTGTTTTTTGTCTTTATTATTGTAAACTGAACATCTTTGGGTCTTGGACTGTCTGCCAGACAAAAAAAGACATTTAAAGACGTGACCCTGGACTTAAAGAAACAGGGTTGGACATTTTCGGACATTTTATAGACAAAACAATTAATCAGAAAACACTTGGCAGATTAATCAGCAATGAAAACAGTCATTAGTTGCAACAGTAGTAACTTACAGTTGTCAAATAAATGAGAGTACAAGTATAAAGTGGAAAAGAAAAGCAAGTATCTTAGAAAAGTTCAGGTTGCTGTAATTTGTACGTAAATGTACTTTGTTACATTCCTTTACTGGCAAACCTGGAGTTATCTAGAAGGAGTTTACAAGGTTTATAAATATGTCATGACTCTTCACAGTTTACTGGCGAAGAACACTTATGTTATCGTCACTTCCCAGCCTGGACTCTTGAGTTTCCTCAGTTTTTGTTCCTCTGTAATGTCGTACAGTGACGACAGTAGAGTTTACACTTCTTTGTTTCCTAGCAGCAGTCATACTCGCTGTCAGTCCGATCCCCACGGCGCTGTGCTCCCGGTAATGTCTGTGTAACCCTTGCATCACATTGTTTTCATCAAAGTCTTGTCCTTTGGCATGAGGCTCTGCGGTTGGCTGATGACTCAGAGCTGAAGATCCGCCACATATTTGTCGAGGAGTGAGAGACGGAGAGAGGGCTTATTATTGTTACACTCCACCAGGTGATGACTGTCCTCAGTTTCCTGGAGGAACACACGAGTTTCGGAAACCGAACGGGGCTACTGGGTCCGGGTCTGTTCTGTCTGGCGAACACAGGAAACAGGAAACTACCCCCAATTCACTTCCTGATTGGCTGGAATAGACTACAAAAGAATTGTGTTTTTTCCTGCATGGCAACAAGCTAATGCAAAGCAGATGTAGTGAGACACAGAGCGAGGGACAGAGGTGGTGTCTCACATACAGGAGCAGGCTGTGCTTCATCTGTCAGCGGCTGTGTCTCCGTCTGTGCTTGGAGAGACGGGGGGATTCTCAGTGGCGCAGCTGGAGTCAGGACTTTGTCACTAATTAACAACAACATATGTGCATTCGACTTCTGTGTCGCCGCTAGGAACATTGTTTGACAAAGTCGGACAGATTCAGAACACTGGAAAATACATCAGGCTAGAAGAGAGCGCAGACCCCCACCAAGGCCAATAGTCCAGTCTTTTATGAAATGCAAATCTGCAAGCACTACCACTATATGCGTCTGGATATACTTCTAATTATCTCAAAATATGATTGTGCCTAGATGTAACCTCATCATTTTAGCTGTGCATTTATTATGTACTTCTAAACGGGACATATTTATTTTTTCTCGATACCTCTGGTGGAGTTTATGGTGGGCGGTTTGCATTTGGAGTACGTCTGAGTATAATAAACTGCATGATATATATGTATTTATGTTTCCATAGCTACACCTTGTGGTGCTACAATTGTGCCGGTTCTCCCATTAAACCACAGTTCCCAAGTGCTCCATAAGGACTGCCGTCTTTATTAAGTTTGAGGATTACTGGTACTCGTGAATGTTGTGATATGGAGTCATTGTATTCCTACAATTGGCTTTGTTTCATCTCTATTGAACTTTACCACCATCTACTGGACTTCAAATGAATTTCATTTATGCCGCCAAGTTCAAATGCCAAATCTCGCACTGTTAACGAATGTGAAAAATAATTTGTGTTAGTTTGTTTGCTCCAAACTTCAATGTGTTCTTCCTTGGTCCATGCTACACCCTTTCTTTAAGTGATGAAAATCAGGCCAGTAGCCTAGTTTTTCTGTAATGCTGCTAACAAACAGACTAAAGTCGTGTTTTTACCAAACACTTTCTGTATTGTACCCCTAGAACTGCACATAACCAGTATAGACATGTACCTAAACACTAGATCTGTTTTGCTTTTCCACCGCGGACAGCACTCTTAAATGTAGGTAGGGTTGTTACCAGGTGGTGATAGCTGCATCACTGCTTCGTCCAGAGCTGCTGTATTTCCTCTTTACTTGTGATCAGCTCATTGATTGTCCATGGAACAAGGGCATGTGACAAATTTCATAACAAAAAAGAACAGGTGGGAGTGTTTATAGTCACTGTCACAATCAATTGGATATTTAAAAATCGTGAGATTGTGCATTGAGTCCTTGTCGAGCAAGAGTGTCACTTCCTCCTAGACAAATCAATGGACTGCAATGTTTCTAGCTCCACCTTTTAGTATCGGATCAGGATGCTAGGTGTCTCAACAGAGGGGTAACGAAATGAAAAAAAGGGACGGAATTGAATGTCTCTCTTGGTACCATGCACAATGTTT